CATTATTTCTAGATTTTACAATAATGTAAATGCTATTATTATTATTATTGCTATTATTGCTATTACTATCATTGTAAATTATATAATACTTTATATTTAATGTATTAAATTATATTTCTTATTTTTATTATAAATATTAAATGATACATTTAAAAGAAAAATTAGAAAGTTCTATAATAATAATACATATTATATTACTTTTTACATAATATGTTAATTATTTTTTTTACATAATTATTTTTTTAATCTTTTCAATCAACATTATTTCCGTCTTTGACCAAATCCAGTTGCTATAATACTTTCAGGAGTGAACTTTAATGTAAATAAAATGTATAATCATTGTTTGTTTTTTTTTACTATACCACAAGACAATATTTCAACAGATGAGCACCTGATGGGTCTTGGAGAGCTACTTTGCACTTCTTTCTCCATTCTTTATGTATTGTACCGCCCACGATCACAGTAATACCTCTCTCCTAATCGCTGTAGCACAAGGCCCTCTGGAAGACTCCGACTCCATCACTTAATCCTTTGTCCTGTTTGATTCTGCAAGGCACTCATCGCAAGGCTACGTGAACAGAGTGGAATATGGTTTCACGCCCGGCTGGTTATTTGATTAGGTATACTGAAGGTTTATGTGATAAAGCGCCAGCCAGGTCTCGCTGTAGTAAGCTCTGTTCCAATTCAGATGCAAGGACAAGAGGAACACATGTACTGTATGGGACAAGCTGAGAGTTTAATGTCATCTTGCTGCAGTGTGTTCCACACACCGTCCTGAGATGCTAAAGCACGACTCCCACGGCCTTAAGTTTATAGGAAGTTCTTGTTCTTATGAAACAGAGCCACTTATAACAATAAAACAGCATTTTAAAATGAACTCGTTGTTCTTTTTCAGAGAGGTTTTGGTTTAGCTTGAGGAAAAACAGGATCTTTACCGTCTTCCTTCATTAAACTTGTCTGGTGCTATATTATTGATTTCTGTAAATGCTACCAACTTTCAACTGCATTTATCTACGCCGTCCCTCACGTATAGCATAATTGACATGCATGCTGCCATTTTCTGGCTCTAAATAAATGTTTGCGGGTTCAGCTTTGGTCGGTAATCTGTTAACCACATCCGTTCCTGCATTTGGCCCAAGCTTGTCTGCAGTGTGACATGAGGGGCCGTGGGCAGGCCGATTAGAAAGCTGCTTCATTACCCTTTGTCACATCAGCTCAGATTTATGGCGCCTAATGGAGGACACTCTGTTTTTGCAATTTACTGAGGGAGATGGGAAATCTGCAGCATTTATGCAGCATAGGGAGAATTACTTTTTTTAAGCAGCGAGATCAGGCTGCTTGCCCTGTCAGACTGTTTTAGTTTGCAAATGGTGTCATTTATTTCAGAGATATATTGGGTTGTTCAAATGAGAATTGCAGATTATTTTGGCCAACTGCATTCTGAAGAGATTTTAGTCATTCAGCTGTGAAATGCAAACAAAATAAGTGAAGCACTCACACAACCGATTGGCTCAAGGGCAGCATCTGCTGGCTGTCAACGGCACTGCAGTCTGTAGTGATACATAGTGGGGCTTGCCAAGTTATGGCTGTTTCCATTAAATGCTTTTAAGTATGGAAGTTTTTCACAGACTGTGATGATGCGTTGCCACAGTTATTAACATCGTAAATCTAGAAAAGCTTTTTATATTTTCATTTTTAACTATTTTAATGTACATTTATGCTTAACACTATGCTATGCTTTGTGTTTTCTTACCTTAGAGGGTTACCCAACAATGACGACTTCCGCTTCTGAGAAGCATGGGAATGTGAAAAGGGTACATAATAGTATCAAGTTTTTAAGTATTTATTAATTACTATTAAGTAGCCTATTATTACTATTCTCAAGTATTATAATAAACTGCCATCTATTATCTTGTAAAAATTCAGATTAAAATTTCATACTGTGCTTGTTTTACAAGTTGTTTGTTTCAAGACTGACTGTTCTGTTCCAGACGTCTTCCTTTGGACATCATTGGCACAGGTGACGGAATTATGAGAGGTCACTGCAGAGTAGCAAGTTCACCTTCAGAAGGTCACATGGTCAATACTTACTTCAAAACCATAAAACACTCAACTTTGTTTGCTTCAACTCAGCTGTCAAAACATACAGCCTGTGCTTGGAGCTGATGTGCTGCAAAGAAGTTTGTAAAATGTGATATTCTAAAGTATAGAGTTCCAAAGCTCAAATGAACTGGCAACCCTAAATCTCAATTCATGAGCACTGTCCCCTATATCCTTAGAGGCTAAGTGAATCCCAAAATATTTTACTGAAGTGATTATTTACACAGGAATCAATTGCTTACTAAATTGAACTTTTAGCAATTAATTTAATGCATCGAAAAATTACATTAGAAGCCCAAGATTTCATTTTGTTGAGTGGTATACTAAAAAAAATTGTAAGCTTTCCAATAAATTGCTTTTATTAAAAAATGAATGAATGGATTGATAGATGTAGGCTATGGTTAAGTGATTTATGAATAAATAGATGGATGAATGGATGACTAAAGAGAGAGAGAGACAGATGGGTAGATGTTTAGGTCAAGGAATGTATGTTCTTCTTCCAAAGCCTTAATTATCTTAAATATTATTAATTATTTTCAATTATTTTCAATTAATTAATTATATTAATTATAATATGTTAAGTTTGTATATTAAACTGAAATAGTTTCAAAACAACATTCTTCGTTTTGTCTTAAAGGGGTCATATGATGCTGCTAAAAAGAACATTATTTTGTGTATTTGGTGTAATAAAATGTGTTTATGCGGTTTAAGGTTAAAAAAACACATTATTTTCCACATACTGTACATT